GATACATGTGATAGCTAATTCCCTAGATACATGTGGTGGCTAACTACCTTGATACATGTATGTGATGGATTACTCTCTTGATACATGTGGTGGCTAACTACCTAGATACATGTGGTGGCTAACTACCTAGATACATGTATGTGATGGATTACTCTCTTGATACATGTGGTGGCTTGTTATCTTGACACTTGTGGCTGTTGGTCCTCTATGTTCCTTTTTTGTGTGTGATTAGCTTGCCATAGGTACCCGTGTTTGTAAGCTCCCTTAATATCTCGGATGAATAATTCTCCGGGAACTTCTGTTTATCACATAATAACTTGTTCTTGTACTATAAGCCCCCTTAGTACATCTGTTGGTAAGCTAATTACGCAACTGTGTTGGTTCGTTCGCAATATTCCCCTGATGGATAGTTCCCTATAGGTTCCCCTGCTGAGTACCTCCCTTTGTACCGGTGTTGCTTAGTCTCTGGGTATCTCTTCTAATCAGCTCTCTAAATTACTGCGGTTGCTAGTTACCAAGGCTAGAGTTTCCCAGGTTAGCTCCCTTAGTATTTCTACTTATTCCAAACAGTTCAACAGGTAACTTTGTTGTTAAGCCTCCTAGTTACCTCTACCGGTTATCTACATAGATATAGCTGCTGATAATATTCTAATATACCCAAACTGGTCATCTAAGTAAGAACTTTGCTATTTAGAACCATATGTGAATTTGCTTATTGGTGGTTAGCTCCCTAGGTACCTCCGCTGGTAAGATCACCAGGCAGCTTGGCTGGTTAACTCGATTGTTACTTTTGCTGGCTAGCCCCTTTGGTTCATCGGCTGGTTACACCCCGAAGTACCTGTGCTTCTGTTGGTCAAATCCCTTGGTTCCTTTGTCGGCCTCTGCTTATTAGACCACTTGGTGACGCCGCTGTTTATTCTAATGTGCACAGACAGACAGACTGACCTAGTTTCTACATCCTCAGCCAACTTCGTTGAACGAATGATGAAAAGGCAAACTAGAACTTAATGACCAAAAAAATCGCAAGGGAAAACTGAAACAAGAAATAAGGAACATTAAAAAAAGCAACCAGGGCTCGTATTCATAAAACCATTCTCATGCTCAAACTCAGATTCTGTGCTCAAGCCCACTTTCCTTGTTCCAGTGATAAATGAATGAAAATCCCATTTTGTACGTGATTTGGAAGACTTTTGAAGAGACGTCAAGCAGAAAGCTGTTCGAAATGTTTGCACTTGATATTTTTACCATGTCAAATGATTTAAGCGAGTTATAAGAAAGATGGTTTGAGCACAGAATCCATGCTTAAGCATGAAAATGGTTTCATGAATACGATATTTTTGTTGTTTAGGAGTGCGAAAATAGTAATCAAAACAATTGATAGAATCGAAAATGGAAGTGATCTTATCACAGAACAAAAACAAATTCTTAGAAAAAAATAGAATATTTCTATTAGAAATTATACGCAGACCGATCAGAATGTATGAATGCATTTAAGATATCAACATAAATAACTTTCTAAAGAACGGAAAACATGCAAAATCGACATACACAAAAACAGTAAGAAATTTGGTAGAGATAATTTTAACTTTAAGAAGATAAGATAAAATGAAAAATCTGCTGACTGTCTTTCTTGAAATATTTTTCTGGTAGTAACGAACTGATACCAAGTGGTTAAAGGGAAGTAACTCTTCTAGTTCCAGGCGCATTATGCTATCGAAATTAACTTGAGTTATCTCCCGTTGAATAGTAAGATTTGCGTACGCACAGCTATTTCAGACTTTTATCTTTTTTTTTCATTTCAAAATTTACATAAAGGACATGAGCAAACGTTTGCCTTTAATTTTTTTGGATATGTCTTTTATTGTCCAGACATCCCTTTTCTTCTAATTTTTCACAAATTATGAAAATCAGCTTCTTACTTTCTTCAAGGAATTCTCTGAAGTAGCACCATTCATATGAAACTCGTAGCATTTGTATAGCAAAAATCGCAAAAAATCTCATGACCATAACGATTATTTGATCTCTTGGTGCCACCTCAAGAATAACAACGATATCATGTTTATATACGAAATTCTGGTCTATGAACAAGTAGGAGGCAAAATAAGACGAATAGACGTATTGAGTTATCTCCCGCCGAACGTTCAGTACGGGTTTCTGTGATATCCCTTTTCTGAAGTACACAGCTATTTCAGTCTTATAACCACACGATGAAAACTCTAATATTGGGTTCCTATTAATTAAGCATCATTTTACACAATGTTTATGTGACGTCATTATTCCGTCCTCGACGTCGTTTTGTCGGCCATTGTTGTTCGATCTGCGTCTCCCGAAGTCTTGAATCGAACGTACTAACGATGAGCAATGTTTTGAAGGTATGTAATAAAAACATCACCACAAATATACATGTGATCATGTAAAAGTCAGCGTGAAGTATATCAATACGCCCAATCTGAGACGTCATACGGACACAACATTGGTAGTGTCTATTTATCATATTGACTGAGTATTTGTACGTGTGAAAAACGTCACAAAAAACAATGAGATGACGTCATGAATCCTCGGTGAAATGGTGGTGATTTTCTTGTATATATAAATCAACGTTTAATTTGATTCACATGAACTACTCATGGACTAGGAGAAGTTCCCGTAAACACTGATACTGAATTATTTAGACATGGAGTAAACTGCATCAAATTTAGACGTTAGATTTTAATTAATATTTATCGTAAAATAAAATTACAACAGCCAAGCGAATCTTTAGGATTTGTAAAAATTACGGAAATTAATTGAATTGAATTTTATGCATTATGTTAGGAAAAGGTGTAGAAAGGTTGTACTAACTTGTATTTAATCTTTTGTTCATATTGGGCAATAAATATGTTTAAACAAAGATTCACTCGGGCACCTAAAAGCTACGCTTTGTGTAAAGATAATAGGGGGAAAACATTACGTTCGCGCTCATATGCCAAACAGGGATCAAGTAGTCGACGGGTTTATATGTACAGCTTTTACTGCACTATACTGTTTAAAAACAAAATTATCAGGTTTTTTACTTACTGCGTCTGGAAGTTACGTTTTAATTGACTATAATGGGAGAACAAAACATGCCGTAGCTTGCGCATACTCAATTAAACCAGGTGAGTGTGCCTTTAGCGACGGACTTCGTGTTGTTTTTCCGCCAGCAGAAAAAATAAACATCCGGTGTGTGTATCGACTGCTGGTATTTACACCGCTTCAGGAACTTAATTTACAATTTCTCAATATTTCCGAATTATTGTTTTAATTAGGTTTACTTGGAATACATTAAAAAAATACACTATCAAGATTGCTTAGGCCCGACCTAATATGAAATAGGTGAGACCTAGTCAGCGGGCACACATGGAAATACAGTTTTCTGCATAATTTAACTGTTTCATTTTCTGCACAGTCGGTGCATAATTCAATATACCATTCTATATAAAAAAAAAAANACATGCCCGTATTTGAAGAGTTATAAACTCTTTACTGTTGGAAGAGTGCATGGCCCAATGTGCACCGCCTTGGGGTAAGTTTTACAGGATGTCTGGTTTTGTTTTGTTTATTTAGACATATGTTATTGCCAAAATAGTGACAACAGGATTGGGCACAAGTTATTACAACATTATGTACGCCCTTTCCTCAAATATATACATTAGATTTACAAAAATGTCTGGGGTACATGTAAGTTCGGCCCACATTGGAATTTGCATAAGTATGAAGTCAGAAAGCATGCAACGTCATATTTTCCCGCCAATGCCAAGCTTCCTGTGTATGGCATTGGCGAACCTGTCACTGTGTCATGGGACGAACCTGCCCAAAATTTATATTTTAAGAATCTGTATATAAGAGCAATACGAAACGCAATGCTAGGCTTGTATGTATACCATCATGTGAAGCTGTCGGTTTGTTACACGTATGCCATCAATAAGTACCATTTCGGTTTACAAAAAGTTTGCAAAACAAGAAAGAAGTGAGGTCATAATTTTCATTCTATCCTCCCAAAAAATTGTTTTCTCGCTTTTAGTAATCTAGAATTATAGTTTTCCCTTCTTTTTTGTTTCATATGAATGACCTGCCCCGTGAACTGCAAACTCTCAAAGTTGTATATATTTGCTCAAGACTAAAATATCAGGAGTGGCCGGAGTGGCCGGAGGGCCGAACTTGCGCCGATTTCCACAAGTTGCCCTGACCCCATATTGAACCCTGTCGCTATGGATCTGCTCTGGTTCGTTGTTTTAATTGTTAGCATCAATTACCGGTCTATTTGTTTGTTTTTCTTCAGATAGTACCGTGAAGTACTGAAGAGAGTATAAGAAGGAAAATAAAGTATGTCCTTTTGAATGTCAATACTGGCAATTAATAAATTTTCTTTCAAATTGAGATATTGAAGTCGAGTTTAAAGCAATGGAAGGTACCTTTAAGGCCGTTTTCGGACCGTCGGTTTGGGAATATTTGGGTTGGTTTTCTAATATATTTGTTGCAAAAGTTTCGTTGGGGTTCCAAATTAGGCAGATTAAAATCACTTAAAATTCGGATTTATTTTGAAAAACTGGAACGAAACAATAGAAAATATAGAGAAACTTTCATTTGGAAATATGTAAATCCTAATCCCTTAACTACATGTACTTGTGAAAGAAGGTTATCATGAAAACCTGTCTCAGATTTTACATATTCTCAGAAGAAAGTTTTACACTGTGTTGGCGGTGTCTGCCAAGGCACTCTTCTTCATAATATGACCCTGCCTGTGCTGAGGACGATACGTTATACAATATATACAAATACAAAATACTAACTACTTTCAATTTGTAACACTTAAAATCTGCCACATATGTACTCGTCTGAACGAATCTAAAACGTCAGCAATTTTTATTAATATCTTCAAGGCTTACACATGTCAGGTTACATATACCAGGATATAGTCGATACTACACAGTAAATTACAGGTATGGCAGTAACAAAGCTGTATCACTATCGCGTGTATTTAACAAACTCGTCTGCCCGTGACGTACAATATCAACATAGGTACAGTTTCTACGAGAAACGCCGGTCTGGGTGGCGGGTTTTAAAGGACGGAGTGCGACGCTTCATGGTTTCGGGATTAAAAGTTCTTTGTGGAATTATAAACGATGGCATCTGTGAACGAGAGCTTGATGGCACTAAAGACGGAAGTGGAAGTTTTGAAGGAATGGCAGTCATACACCAATGACAACATGGACCAGTTTTTCCTTATAACTATGGGAACAATCATCTATCGTAAGTTATTTTTTTATTTTAATTTTTTTAAATTGCATACCTATTTTCGTATTTTTGAGAGTTTGGCAAGGTTGTCGGTTGATAATCGCAATTGTTACGGTGTTTTATTTCTAAAACAATTATTGTGGCAAGCTATATAATGTCACACTATACAATAGAATGTGAGGAAATTAGAAAAAAAGAAAGATATTTTTATACACATGCGTCAAAGACATCCCTCAACATAATCCTCGTGTCCTACACTCTTATCAAATATAGCCTCGCCTCCAGCACTGCTTCCAAACATCATCGCGTTAAGGGCCCCTCTCAAATTAGCTTCGCGTCCAACACTCTCTTAAGAATACCTTCACATACAGCACCCCTCGCCAAACATTACCCTCGTGTCAGGCATCCCTCTCAAACATAACCTCGCATGCAGCACCTTTCTCGAACAAAATAGCCTCGAGTTCAGTCCCCTACTCAACTATGTAGCTTTCGTATCAACCACGAAATAATGTGTCTGAAACCACATACCCCATAATATTCTCGTAAACGCTGGATGACTTGATGGACGAGCGTTGGACTTTGGAACAATATAAACCATTATTTATGGAGTTCGACATTGCTTTTTTTAGTTTACCCTGTAATCGCTCAGTAATATATATTTCAAGTTATAAAAAATTATCACATAAAAACCTGTTATCTGTGTCATCAAACCCAACACATAAATCATGTCATGAACACGCGTTTTATAACACAAAACAGAGATGCGATTGACAGAACGTTGCCATTATGTCCATAGTGACGTCACAACTAGGATATCACTTCATGCATTCGGGAACCGTCGGCATTTTCCGTAAACGAGAAAATAGTATTTTCATCTACGTAACTTGCCGACGGTTCCCGATTGCACTTCATGGTGTGACAGACTTCAAACTTCGCTGTGACGTATATTTGATTTCAGGTCAACGTTTCAAAATGTTTAAAGCACATCTGCAACAAATGTTGATTACACGATGAATAGAATCTTATACTCGTTTTAATTTTATATCAAATTTGTTAAACTCGTAACGATTTTTAAATGTAGTTCGACGCTCATTAAAAATACAAATTATTAAACCTGTCTCACAAATCACCATCATCGATATCAAGTGGTTACGCTCACTTTCGCTCTCTGCACCGCTGGAATATGTCATAGCAAAATTGAAGGCTCGGTGTGTGCCACCTTGTTGATAAAACAAGAAGACTAGTTCGATCCTTTGATGTACATCAAAAGAATCTCGCGGTCAGGTAACGGTAAACATTGACAGGCTTTGAAGTTGGGCGTCACTTCTTTGTAAACTTCAAAGGACAGGTATCAGCCTAGCAATTGGTCTGTTTTTCTTACCTGAGACCAATCAAACACCTATCTTCGTGCCTTCAATTTTGCTATGACATATTCCAGGGGTGTAGAGAGCGAAGGTGAGCGTAACCTCTGGATATCGAGGATGACAAATCACAAGTGAAACAGGAAACTCTTAACGATGAACTATCTTTACTGTGATATTCATGTTTTGTGACAGAACATTTGCCTTGACGAAGAGAGTTCCGGTGTTTGTTAACTTATGTATCTTCAACAAAGAAGAGCTCATTGTTTCTCTACCTTAAAAGATTTCCATTTCCTCTAATTTTTAGTGATTGTTTTACGCAGTAAGGTGGTCGATGGGCTATTAGGACCCGGGGTTAGCTGTTGCCTTGTAGCTAGAATATATTCTGCCACTGTTTACATGAAATGCCAGTTTAGTATAAATCATCCGATGTAGCCAAAACCTGTAAAGTAACGTTATGAAGGCTTTTGTAGGCACCTTCCCTTTTCGCTGTATGTTTCATATGATTCGGAACATTTTAGACATAGGTATTTCATTTTTTTACTTCTAGTCCATGGACGAAGTGGCTATTCAACACTGTACAATGTTTTCTTTACTAGGCTTTCAGTATCTACAAACAAGATTTCCAAACAGGTTCATCCTTCTTCGTATTTCTGCTGATTATTGTGACCGTTTGTAAGGTCTGTGTTTCCGGTGTGACGTGATGGGTATGTTATCCTGTATGTAGTCACTCCCTTACAGTACCGTATGGTTCCGGTTTACATACTGGGCATGCTTTGTGGAAAGTCTTGAGCCCGCCATTAAAGATGCCTAGCAGTGGTGTGTTTGATCGGATCTGTTTATGCTAAAGAACCCCTATAAACATAACACTTATCTCGTTTCATAAATTACATGTCTTTATTGTACTTAATGTTTTATTAGTGTGTGTGTATAAACCTAAATCTATCTTTCAATCACAATTCTGAAGGCATTTACCCGAATATTTGTAATGTAACTCCACAAATGCTATGGGAACAGGTAAGCCGGGACCAGCCACATGGAAACTCGTATTGTCCACGGCTGACGAAAGTAGAAGCGATTGACGTACACGTCTACTTACCTTACAGCACGGTGTACATACTTATATGTATTATCCCATGAATACAGTCTTTCAAACTGGGTCCATTAACATGGGAATTTTATGGAACGATTTTTATAGGAATAATAATTGATAAATTCATGATCATAACGATATGTTTTGAGGCCACAAAGACAGAGCTCTAGGTCAAAACACTGTCTGGCTGACACAATGACACAGACGTTGGGCGTAGTACGTAGGTTGCTCAACTGATGTGTCATTATTGTCACAGAATAACAGATCGGGCCCTATTCATGAAACCGTTCTCATGCTCAAGCATTGGTTTTGTACCCAAGCCTTATTTCTTGTTTCAGGTATAAATTAATAAAAATAAATATTTTGTCCATGATTCGGAAAAAATTGGAAGAGGTTGAAAGCTGAATACTGTTTTCAATGTTTACAATTGACTTTGTGATTGTTTCACATGATTTAAGCGAGTTACAAGAAAGTTGGTTTGAGCACAGAGTCCATGCTTGAGCATGAGAATGGTTTCATGAATACGGACACAGAACAAAGACAAGAGCAAAAGCACAATCATAGGGTGATGAAAACCTTTAAATATTCGGAAAGAACACTCGATAGGGTAAAGAAACAATTTGAAAGTTGGGGAAAAACAGAAAAATGTCTTTCAAGGGGAATGACATAAGAAAAATCAGGTTGACATTCCTTTACCGAAGGCATTGTCCGAACCCATCCACCAGATACCATTACACTTGTATATATAGCGTCTATGGCATAGTAAAAGGACAACGAAACCTCACATCTCACAAAATGCCCCGGAACACCTTGTGCAATGTGATTAAATACACTATGAAAACGTCACAGAATGCACGTACAAAAATCGAACGCAAGAACTGCGACGCATTCTATTACGGAAAAACGGGACGATGGTTCGATGTCCGATTTGTAGAACACCAGACATACATTGAAACCCAAGACCAAACATCAAATCAGAAAGAAAATCAGTCGGAATCCCAGACCAATAAATTGGCATCAAAGACCATGCCACACAGACAAATCATGTTATTGACTGGGATCCTTCCGATCTGGATACGTCGTAACGGCCCAGTTCTGAACCGTAACGAGGGGGTGTACATACAGTCGCACATCAAGAACCAGGTACTTAACAAAGCATGGCCGAATTGACATATCGATATCATTTCGTAAGGTCGATCAATGTATTGTTTTTTTTTTTAATTGAGACATTCCGTGAATAAGCAATTTCTTTCATTATCTTTACCTTTCCACATAAAAAAAAACTATTTATCATTTAGTTTTGTTTCAAATACACAAAGCTAAGCGTACTGTATGGATTATGTTACAAACCCTAAGATATACGCTCTTAAACACAGCGTGACTGATTGGTTATTTATAAAATGATGAATCATCGTTATTTTACATAAGGTATACTATATACAGAACCGACTTTTATACATTAGACCTTTGTTAGCTTGGCAATCAATCAAAAGATCACATGCATCCATAATATTTACTTGACTTCAAGTTATGTACGTGTTAGAATTACAACAACAAAAAATCAGAAATGAGAGAGAGGAAAATAGCTCAAATCATACATAAGGTTAAATTGCATTAATTTACGCGGAATTACTGAAGATCGGTATTAGGCCACACGAAGTTGATGTAAATACTTACTCAACACGCTAGACAAACTGTCACTTAGGGTTCGCTAAACTATTTGATAAGTAACATCTACATGCGTTACAATAAATCTTGTTTTGACTCGTAAAACGTTTGTCGCTATTAGAAATAAAACACTTGAGTGACTTTGTTGATATGAGTGTGTTTCCCCTATCCTGAACACAGACGTTGAGATATTCCCTTGAGGGTAAACATGGGCTCGTGTCAATGTTTTAGTGTCATCACTAATAGAATGAAGATATGGAGCAAATATCTGAAACCTTGTAAAAAAATTCGAACAAAGTAAACATTCTATTGCACCTCACGGCCATTTCGTCTATTTATGACTATCGGTGATACTTAAGGCCACCAGGATTAAAAATTCACGCCAAACGTACTCTAAAATATATGTGGAATACATTAAAAAAGTACCTTTAAAACCCTTTTACAGCGTTACATATTCACAGTGCTCAGTTCCCACAGATAATGTATAATTAAACTAAGTATTCCATGTAAACCCTGGCAGAATGAAATCAAAGCTACAATTAAGGCTACGACCAATCTTGAAAAGTGACAGTACACCAGCATAGTTAAACATTTTCCTACATAAAACCCACTAGAAATGGGAAGAAAGTGTGTACCTTTTTGAAAATACTGTTTGCAGATCTATGCAAAAAGCCGAACAAAGTTGCACGTCCGATAAAATACCGCTGAATTTGTTTTACAAACGGACGATGGGGCCGGGCCGTTCAACCGTATATTTATACGAATATTGCGTGGTGCTATCTGATGTACCTTACTCCAGTTGTACAGCGTGTAATTGATATCCTGTGTCATATATGTTGTGTAAGCTATTTCTTACTTACATGGAAGATATCCGCAAATAATACTCGAACTTC